CTCACACCCTCAATCATGTTCTCGAATGCATTACTACGCCTGATTTTAGCCCAAGGTCAGTCTCAATTGTGAGGGCGAAGTCGGAAGCAGCTGCTTACAGAATAGTCTCACTCAACTACGCGGGAAGATTACGAAATGGATGTGTAAGAAGAATCTAACTTTGGAGGAACGAACGAAGATCAATCTTGTGATTGAGCGTAACCACTTACGTGTCGATGAATGCAACGTCATAGTTCGTGGCGTAGTGCAGCCGACGGAGAAGACGCTACAAGAATATGTGAGGGAATGTAATCGCAGATACAGAGGTATAATGTGGATAGGATTGAGCATTCCTGCTCCAAGTGCTAATAATCCTAGGGCTGAGTCCGAGCTTGCCAGAACATATTCGGATCCGTACTCCTCTAGTGATCACGTATAATTGCGTGCTGAGAAGCGGACGGACGTGGTCTGGCGGTGGACCCCGAAATCTGATCCGAGCCCTCAGGCATCTAGTAGTGATGCAAACTTCAATGCGGGAAGAAGTCATGGAATCTACCTTGCAAAAAAGCGTCTCAAAGTTCAATTCGTACCTATCTGGACATCCTATTGCACAGGCTTATAGAAGATTAGTACACGCCATTACAATAGGAGATTGGTCTCTCATCGAGACGGTCAGGAAAGAGAGTCGTACTATCTACCAAAACCCGCGGCGCAATGTGAAGAAGAGATTGCGACGGCTTGTTGACCCTTTCAGAATGACAACGGTACAAAAAGGCAAGTTCAAGCTCTGAGATTCGATACATAAGTTGATGACTCTACAGTGATGATTGCCGGGCTCCCGAAAGATTCTCAAGTCGATGGACTCTGGGAAGTCGATCGTGAATGCTTAGTACCCGAATTTCCATCTTTGCGAGATGAAATCTGCTTGCCCAAGAGTAAAGACGGAATGGCGACAACACGGCGGTTTTCTCCGGTCGACGAAGCGTATTCAGAAGAAGACGACGTGGCGCCCGCCTCTCCATCACTTAAGTGGACCGTAGCCGAACGATTAGACGTGGGCATTGCTACGGAAGAACCCGTACGGGAGGCATGGGAGACGCTCGTCAATTGGGATGGCTAGACGCGTGTTGCAACTATGGAGCTGTGGCTGACGACTGATGACTGTTGATGAGATTTTTGAAAGGGTACGAGAGTCTGAGCATGTGTATGGATAGTACGATGCAATACATGTGGTCTGTTTGTCCCAACTAGCGCGTTGATAAAGATCCACAAGTAGAACCGAAGGAGCGGAAAGGACCCGCTATGACATGCGAACCACCCTGTTCAAGGGAAAACGTGATTAGGTGCCTTAGGGCCTACAATGGTATCTAAATTCTACTTTGGTAGAATCCCAAGGCATTGTAGCCCTGTTCTGGGTTTTTGAAGTTGTACTTCGTAGAGATAGGTTTCTGACTTTACCCTCGAATGGGTTGCAACTACTTCCCGCTCCATCCATTTCCACATTGACGTTCCACCACCAAACCTCCACCATGCCGCGCCGCAGCTACACTCCCGAAGAATCTCAAGCGCGATTACCGTCGCACCCCGAGTCAAAGCCACACGAATCGCGCACCCACAAGAAACACCACCGCTCGCACCGCTCGCGCTCCCCCCGTCGCGACGATGACACGCACCGACACAAGCGCCACCGCTCGCGCTCACCCGCCGCACCACGACCCATAGACCTACCCTACAAAGCAAAGCCGCTTTCAAAGCGCCACTACGAAGACTACAAGCCGCTATTCCAATCCTACCTCGACATCCAGAAAAACATCCAACTCGACAGCCTCGACGAGCGGGAGATAAAAGGACGATGGAAGAGCTTCGTTAGTCGCTGGAATCGTGGGGAGCTAGCAAGAAGCTGGTATGATCCTTCGATGTTGAAGACGGCGAAGGAGACTGTGCAGACATATCGCGCGACTTCCCCCGTAGTGCCTAGGAGGAGGGCGTCGCCGAGCTATGCACGGGAAGAAGATGAAGCCTCAGATGCGAGCGACGACGACTTTGGCCCAGCACCACCTACGAACCTCTCCAGACACACCGGCCACGGTCCCACAATCCCCAACATGGACGACCTAACCCTCCGCAACGAACTCGTCTCCGAAGACCGCGCAAATGGCCAATCAAACTACATCGACGACATCCGCCACGCCCGCAAAACCGATCGTAAATCGCAAAAAGAGGCTCTAGACGACCTCGTCCCCCGCGCAGACCCCAACTCTCGTGAACGCCAATTAGAGAAGAAACGCGAAACAACATCCACCCTAAACTCCTTCCGCGATGCCAAGGAAGCGGGGGAGGTAGACGTGCCGGAGTCAGATCTCATGGGCGACGACGGGATAGACGTGTATAAGAAGAAGAAAAAGGAGCAGGAGAGGCAGAAGAATGAGAGGGAGATACGGAGGGAGGAGATCGCGCGGGCGAGGGAGGCGGAGAGAAATGAGAGACTCGCAGAACGGAGGGAGAAGGAAGCGGGGACTATGGAGTTTCTGAAGAGGATTGCCGCGGAGAGATTTGGATAGTGTTGGGGAGAGGGTAAGGAGTGGTAGGCTGGAACAGTTGCTTCACATTCGATTGAAGAAGGATTCGAGAGCTGAGGGTTCAGCCTGACTGGGATACCAGTCTGGTGTGATTGAGTGTATTATACAAATGGAGGACCCTCCGAATAGTCCTACTCCGCGATATGCTAGGCCTATCATACCATCATCATGTACCCATACTCCTAAGCCCACTGTTATGCGCACAAACCTATACAACTTCAAGCCGAAGCCCTAGCGCCACCCCTCGGCTTCTTCCTGTCATGATCCACAATCCCCCTCTTCCGATGGTTTTGCGCCGTCTTCCACCGAACATAAAGCATGATCATGTCCTTCAGCCCAACAAACATACATCCACCAACGACACTCCGTCCCCAACGCGTCTGCAGGAAGCCAGTTGGCTTGCCTACACCACCTGCCTTTCCGCCAGTATTGATCCAGCCACCGAGCCAAGATGTTGCCGGTGCGCCTGTAGGGGGTGTCACCCAGGAGCTGGGTAAGCTGAGTCTGAGGATCTCGCCCATGGCGGCGGCGATGGTGGGGAAGATGAGGGCGCCGAGGATGGTGTCTGCGAGGGAAGTGGTGGAGAAAGTTACGCCGCGTTCGCGTCGAACACGTCGGGGTCGGGGCGCAGCGGGCTGCATGGGAATGTTGGGTGGGGGTGCTGCGTGTTGCTGGGGTTCAATATCGGCCAGCTCAGGCATTTCGGCGTCGTCTTGATCGTCTTGTGGTGGCGCGTCGATTGGTCCCGCTGGGCCTCGCGCGACGGGTACGGGGGGATGTTCGTGCGCGTCGTCGTCATCGTCGTCATTGTCCGCTTCGCCATTGTTGTTCCAGTCTGCGAAGATGTCGAAGTCGAGTTCTATCTCTACTTCTTCAATCACATCCTCGTCGCCCCCATGGTCATGGTCATGGACGTGATCATGTTGTACCTGGGCATCTGCGGTTGTGTCTTCGCCAGCCCGGGGCTGGATCTCCTTCAGCCATTGCTGCTCTCGTGGTAACCAAACACGCTCGTAGTATGCGTTGTAGAACCCTCGAAGATATGGTAGTGCGGCAAAGGTGAAAGCGGCGCTCGGTGGCCACTGCAGTTGTAGCATGTCATCGCCTGGTTGTCCGGAGCTAACAAAGAAGATGAGCGGAAGGAAGGGTAGGAAGGAGTCGGCGAATGACGTTCGGCTTGCGACCAAGACTGTCGGAATCAACGGCAATCCAAGGTCTAACCTCCAGTGCTGCCTCAGATGTTCCAGCCACTGCAATGTCACCGAGTTCACCGACCGACTCGGGGTCTCGTAGAGCGGACCGAGAATTTGCAGCGCATCTTGCGTGCCGAATATCTGGTATATCGTTGCCGTCCCGGATAGCGTCAGTGTCGAGTAGAGCGCTGTGCCTGTGACGAGTGCGAAGCCCGGAAGCAGGAGATTACCCGTAAGCTTCTCAACGCCCCGAACCATGTCCACCACGTAGCTCCTCGGTCGCTCTATCCTGATCTCGCTCTTGCACTGAGGACATAATATCTGCCCTGCTGCTTTACCAGCCCGTCGCCGTGAGCTGGGCGCCTCCATATCCGCTATCCAGTCTAGCAAACACCTCTCGTGCGCCACCAGTGAGCAGGCGCAAGGCGACCTCCACTCCGATGTCGTTTCGTCGTCTTCCGTCTCGTCGTTGAAGCAGATCCAGCATCTTCGCGGTTCATCGTCTTCTTCTAATTGTGGCGCGGTGGTCTGTGTAGGTACCTCGGTCTGTTCCTGGGGCGTAGAAGAGGCTGACTGTGTAGAAGGCGTGTTGAGTAGCAGCGTCTGCGAATCTACCGACTGGCCTGAGAAGCTGTTCGTCCGTTCTGTTTGCTCCTGCTGTGATGACGATGATTCGGCAGGAGGTGCGGGTCTATGTTGCGACGCGGGGCGCTGAGGCGGAAGAGACGCCATGACGGGTGAATGTGTGCGAAGAGGATCGGGAAGGCGCGTAGTCGGTCGAACAGAAGAATATAGATTATGGCTCTGCTCGCTGAAACGTATGGCACGAGACAGTAAGTGCGGTCAGATTGTCGCGAAAACGGGTGCGGAGGTCGGACTGCGGATCGGTGTTTGTTGATTAGAGTTGCCGAAAGATCTACAAGACGTCACTAACTCCCTGTCACCTGTAGCGTGCCAAGACAAAGCACGTCCATGTTAACTCCATCGGAACGTCCGTCAGAAAGACTTATCCAGGAGTCGACATCAATACAAAAATAAGAGTTTGCAAAGTTAAAGGGCAAAGTGAACCTCTGGAAGGTAGGTGGCATTAACAGAACAGGACCTCGATACACAATCATCCATCTCGTCTACTACCAGACGCCCTCTACAATCAAATCTCCTCAGCCATCTCATCACCCCTAGAACTATACATGTCAGCAAGTATCATTAGATCGACATATAACAGTACTTACTGGCGGATACATCCCCCTTAGATGAGGAGGCGGAAGTGGTCCCCAGACCCACGTCGGCGCCTGGCCGGGTTGAGGCACTGCCAGGTACCCAGGAACATGACCTCCTGGTAGGCCTTGAGGTACTGGAACCCCATCCATCGCGAACGTATATGGGAGCGGGGCGGCTACATTACCAGTCGCCTGGCTGTTTTGACGTCGGTGATGCTGTTGTGGGCGCCCGGGTCCACTGTTCTGGCGTCGATGGCGAGACATCCGCTTGGTAAGCTTTTTCAGCTCTTTCAGCTGGCCGTTGACGAGATGGCGGTGCTTGAGCGTGTTGGGTGAGTCGGCGAATTGGCCTTCCGCAACATCTGGGATGTTTGGATCTTGGTTGGAGCCATTTTCGTGATAGGGCGAGCCCACTTCTTGCATCTCGTGCGGGTCGTGGGCGGAGCGGGTTTCGTATGGCTCTGCAACTGCTGGAGAAGCGTGTGGAGCTGGCGCTGGCGAGTTGTCTTGCGGGGCTGTAGCGTTCCTTCGAGCGCGCCTTGGTGGATCCAGACGCCAATGTGATGTGATACTGTCGACGTCCGAGAGGCTTCGGAAGCTGTGGTATGAGCCGACCTCGTCATCGTCCTCCTCTTGGTTTTGTCCTCCAGCCGCAACGTTCTCTTCCTCAGCACCCTTGACCCAACCGGTTCCTTCCACGTACGCCAACTCGCAATGCGGAATAGCAGGATACGCACATACCTCTTGATCCACCTGATCGCCATCTGCCTTCAGACACTCTGCACAGTCGGCGCGGGGTTCTACGAGCACGCACTTATGGTGATATTCCAGCGTTCCAGGGCAGTCGAGATGGGCGCAGTGCCAGGAACCGATATCGTGCACGCGGGGGCCGTCGTTGTGCGCTACGAACCACATGATACACATGGTAGCGGTTATAGTAGGATGAAAACGTAGGAGTGGGAGAAGCGATTGCTGATGCGGGCTGGAAGCGGCCAAAAGTACCTAGGTAGTTGTTGCGAGATGATTGCGTTCAAGGTCAACCGAAGAGACAAGCTGTGTTGTTGACAGGGTGATCAGGCGTAGTAACGGAGAGAATAGCTGCACGGACCAAGGGCGTAGCGTGATGTAGCGGACAGCAAACGGAGAGATCAAGGGAGGCGCGTCTGGCTGTCGCGTTTGCAGTAGCGGAATGGAAATTTTGAAATCAAGTTTTACTGGCGGCTACTAGAGATTATTGTGCTGGCCCATGGAAAGTTGACAATGGGTAGGATATAGAAAACACATATCGATGGTTCAAGTTGAAATAAAGTGAAAGCAGTGAAAACTCTGCCGCCGAACACATATGATCGTTCGTCGTCTTACCATCCCTCAATCGTGAAGTCAAATACTCTATCCCCTTTGCCCTTCTCGATCGGTTTCGCGTCGCCGTCATACAGCGTCCTCTCGAAATACGTCACCTTGCCCTCCTTGTCGCAGAGCACTACGATGTTCTTCTGTGTACCATAGCACCCACTCGTAGCATCCACCGCCTTCGCCTTGACCAAGTCGCCTATCTCATGCGCAGGCATCTTGTGCTCTTCAAGATGATCTCTTCCGATAGCCGGTATAAAGATGCTATGGCGTAGCTGGTTGAGATACATGTCCCACTCTTCATTCTCTTTCTGTCGAGGCATGGTGTCCGTGGTCAGGATGTCAAGAAGGCGACTGATAAGCTGGTCGCGAGATTCATTCGCGTTGACGGATTCCGCAATCGCAGCGCGCGTCCAAGCTTCTCCGTTTGTTACTTTGGGCCAGCTGCGGTCACTGTAGGCGGCGTTGCTGAGAGCTCGAGTTTCGTTTGGCGTCTGTAGGAGATGAACCACACCATGAACATCTGGAGTGCGGTTGCTGACGATTGCTAGGCCTTTTCCTTCTTCTTTGACGACATCCTGGATGAATCCATAGCAGAGCGAGAAACCTCCTACACCTTGAACTCCATCTTCTTCAATCATTCGTTTCGCGAAACCTTCTGTGCTCTCCCCTTTCTCTGGATCAATCTTCAACCAAGCGTTTGGAATCAATCCTCTGCTTCGCGCTCCTTCAACGATGGTTTGGTCCTCTTCACGGTAGTTGGTCAATACTGCGATTCGGCCTTGACGAGTTACACCAAGCCAGGTGCCATGAGCAGGGCGGTGTAGATCGTAGCCTCCCAGGACTTGCGTGTTTGGAGATGGCCACCATGTTGCTTCTGCCGTTGGACGGTGAAGATACTCCTGGTCTGCGTTAGTTATGGGAGAGAGACAGTGAAGCCTAACGAACGTACGTCTCGATTGTTGAGTAGAATGAATGGGTAGTCTGGGTGGGCGGTCGTAAGTATAGCGATGCACATGTTGATGGATGTATTCTGGTTGCAAGAGGGTTTGTGAGTTGAAGTGTGACAACGCGGTGTTCTGTGGCGTTGAAGTTTCGGGGAACGACGGAATAAGCGCAAAGTTTACCGAAGTGCAGTGTGAGCGGTGTGAATGAATGCCAGCAAGTGCTTAAACGCTCAATTTTATACGTGGTCCCAACCGTACAGGATGTGGAGTGAGGTAGGACGACACATAGCGAGATAAAGGTCGACCCAAAGCGGAATCTGATGTCCCTGTGACATAAAGAGAGTGCGACCTCGAGCCAGCGACGGGGAAAACGGCGGTTTCTCACTCAACATTGACTTGTCGCACTTGCATTAGCATGCTGTTCACTACGAGGTACTCGACAGCTGTGTGAGCCGTCGTTTTCTAGAGACGTCGCACAGCATGACTGTTCCTGCAGCGGAGTGACACGGAGGAGATGGCCGAGAGCGATCATTCACGTGCCGGCGGCAGAACCCCGGCCCGTCTCGAGCTCTGATCCCTGCCAAACGTCACAGCCCCGGTTACACCTGCCTCTGCGTCAGCCCTATCTCTTGCACCAAACTTCGCAAGACCCAGGAATTGAGCGACAAGCTCCTCATATACTGCATACGTCTTCCAACTCAGGAAACTATAATGGCAGCCAACTTCGCCCCATACCAAGACATTCCCGAATCGTCACGCGCGCTCTCTCCACCGCCGGTCCACTCGCCGAGGACATCTATCGACCGCACACGTAATATCACATCGCCCACCACACGCGCATACGAACAGCATGACTATTTCCAAGGTCAATCGCCAGAATCGCCGCCCGCCGAACCCGATACAGAGCGCATAGCATGGGATCAGCCTTCGCGGAGCACAGGCTTCGGCCGTTCGCGCGAGGATGTAGACATGTTCACAACGTCTTTAGGCTGGCGACTTGATTATGAGGCGTGCCTGGCATATCTTCTACTGCCACCAGCGGGTGGTGTGTTACTGCTGGTTTTAGAGCACCAAAGCGACTATGTACGGTTCCACGCGTGGCAAAGCAGCTTGCTGTTCGCCTTCGTCTTCGTGGTGCACATTATATTCAGCTGGTCGAGCTTTATTTCCTGGGTACTATTCATCGGAGATTTGGCGGGGATAGGGTGGTTGACTTGGAGGGCGTACTTGGACGGTAAGCATGAGACGTGAATGCTGGAAAGCAGCCGGGTGCTAACATCTGGACAGCTGCGACTCTCGATCGATACGAAGTACCCTTCTTTGGCCCGCTAGCCAGCTCGATACTCGATGACGAATAGAGTGGCATACGGAGACGGAGGTTAATGTCGATATGAGCAAGCATGGCGTTTACGGAGTTTTTGACAGCGACGATCTTCAGTCGGCTTGGAGTGACATAGACTTTTACAATGCGATATTGTGTTCCTGACACTTTGTCGATTGCCACCCTTGAAGATTGTTGTCAATGCTCATCCGACGAGCCAAGAGGTCTCTGAAAGATCGAGGCACAGGCTAAGCTTGCTACGCCGCATGCAAGGACAGTGAATAATGAACGTCAATGACTGCGCCGCATGATCGCAGGTTATTCCCCTACATGTCTTCTTTGCGCTATAGATATCGCCCTGCGAGCAATATGCCAAGATTCGCTGCTTTCTCATCATTGCAGCTTAGACACGAACGAGTCTCCGTCCGTCACAGCCATACCATGACCGAGCGCATCTACGCGACAGGAGATATTGGGACAAAGACGCCGACTGGTGGAGTTCGAAGCAAGGTCTTGTTGGCTGGGAGAGGTGGACGACGAATGAGTTGCATGAATTGCTTATGAAGCAGTATGGAGAGTATACTGCGCGTAAGTCTAATCAGAAGAGGTGAAGATATTGAGATATGATATATTGGTTGACCACTGGTACTACGTGCGTATTGACTCTGAGTCTAAAGTGCATCGATCTTGTAAGCAGATATACACTTTCAAAGGCGGAAGCACAGTTGTTTGGTATCACAGGTATCACAAGACTCTCATTCGCACAAGGTCAATGCGCACATATTCGGCGGCCAAGCTGACGTTGTCCCCTCCCTCGTGACTCGCTCACAGCACGGCTTCAGTGATCGATTGCACTGGACGATCTCATACAGAAACTTCAAAGAAAATGTCGCAGTGCAGGATTGCTGGTCAGATGAGAGAATGATGCGACATCCTTCAGGTGCATGCATGTCCCATTTCCCTTCAGGATAAACATGTCCGTCAACGTAGCGAACTAAGAAATTGGTCCGCATGCGACCAGGGCACGTTTCAATCCGTCCATGGTGCGAGCGGCAAAGAGAGCGAACATCGAGCGTCATGGTTGGGCCAAACCGACCAGGCTCATGTAGAACAGGTAGGGTTGCCGAGTCGCTGTTGAACTGATTCAAATCCATGGTCACCGGAAGGGTTATTTGCGCAAAGTTCAACTGCGATCTGAGGACGTATCGCGAGGTCGTGAGCTGAGTTTGAACGCGCAACACAAACGCAACTATGCCTATGGAACATAGGCAGAACGAGCGTTTACAGCGGTTCAGGATATTTTCGGCGACTTCTAAATCTGTCACGTCATAATCCACTAGCACATCTGAGCCCTCTCCACACAATGACAACAGCGAGAAAACGCGATCGCGAACGACGCCTGATTTCCTGGACTTGAATCGATCCATCAGGTATATCAGGCTCCTACCTCGAAGCTCCTGTGTTGTGCGCGGGTCTAGTGCGGCAACACGGAGTTGGCAGATTTGCTGATACTCGAAAGAGATTGACTTTGCAGCCAGGCTTGCCTTTCCAGCCATGAATGTGATGTGGCGGGCAAGCGCAACTTCCTGAGTGATCCAGGCGCGATCCCAGTAGTCGGCATAACAGAAGTAGCGGAATCCTTTGGCATTACTCTGCGCCTTTTCCCCATAGTCATACAGCTGGCTTTTGGGTGACCTTCTGGCAACCCTCTTTCGTCCGTTTGGATTCTCCAAGAATTTGGCGATCTGTTATTCTGTACCAAGCCAAGCTACGACCTGTACTGCCCCGGCAAAGATTCTCCCCATCTGTTTGACCTGATGGTTTTTCTCATCAGAGTTGATCTGATCTATGCAGATAGCATCTATCCAGAACCAATGAGATTGCCACTGCGGCTGCTGCCTTGCCTCTTCCAGGAAGTTGTAGAGATTCCTTCGAATGCGAAGCCACTGGCCGTTCACGAGAATCCATTGGTAAAGATCATCAGCGCCCCACACGTACGACAGGCAGAGGTAGGTACTCGAGGTCGAGGCATGTCGCAGTTCGCACTGGAGTGATCCATTTGACGACTTTGCGGGTTGGATACGAACGAGTCGAATGGAAGGCGCGCCATAGTCGAGAGGTGCGTGGGTGAATTCCAAGAATTCCAGTGACGATACAGCGGGGATTGGATGAGTATGATTGGCCGAATGCGGTAGAGCCCCTGTATCCATCGTCATGTGAAGTAATTGAGATAAAATGCAGTAGAAGTGCAAGCACTGATTATTAACTAGGATTTGTGTAGTGTGAAGGACAAAAGTGTGAGTTGA